ATTTATTTTTATAAAAGAAAACTTTTCCCCCAAAATCAAAAAAAAAGAAGACCGGTTGAAATTCTATTGTGTCTTGGGGGGGGGGGGGTGGATATTTGATTTTTAGGTCCATACATATTTGGCAACGTCGCAAAGATCTAACAGCAACTATTTCAACCATTGTCATTGCTAGTCCCGGTCAGTGTTGTTTTCAACGATTGATTGCTCGGGTCAGTGTTGTTTTCAACCATTGCTTGCTCAGGTCAATGTTGTTTTCAACGATTGCTTGCTCATAATAGTGTTGTTTTCAACGATTGCTTGCTTAGGTCAGTGTTGTTTTCAACCATTGCTTGCTCATGACAGTGTTGTTTTCAACCATTGCTTGCTCAGGTCAATGTTGTTTTCAACCATTGCTTGCTCATAACAGTGTTGTTTTCAACCATTGCTTGCTTAGGTCAGTGTTGTTTTCAACGATTGCTTGCTTAGGTCAGTGTTGTTTTCAACGATTGCTTGCTTAGGTCAGTGTTATTTTCAACGATTGCTAGCTCAGGTCAGTGAGGTTTAAAAGCTAGAGCCAAATATTCACATCTTATTGGAGAATAATCAGGGCCGTAAAAAATCTGTTCATTTATTGTTTTCCATATCTTAAAAATCGCCCCCCCCACGAACACACTCAAATTAAAGATATATTGTTGTGAGCCCATCCAATTCAGTTCACCCCATCCTATACAGTTCAACCTATCCTATTCAGTTCAACACATCCTATTCAGTTCACCCCATCCTATTCAGTTCAACCATCCTATTCAGTTCAACCCATCCTATTCAGTTCACCCCATCCTATTCAGTTCATCCCATCCTATTCAGTTCATCCCATCCTATTCAGTTCATCCCATCCTATTCAGTTCAACCCATCCTATTCAGTTCACCCCATCCTATTCAGTTCATCCCATCCTATTCAGTTCAACCCACTCTATTCAGTTCATCCCATCCTATTCAGTTCATCCCATCAGGTTCAGTTCATGCTTAAATTCATCAATTACTTCTTGATCTTTTTTTTATCCGTGCACATTACCCCATCTGTTAGTGGAGACCGATGTGTCCGCATCAATCCATATATCCTCTTATAGCACAACTTAGTTACAATCTTTAGCACACATTTCTGGCGGCTGAATAACAACAGGAATCCTACTTGCCTACATTGCAGCCTGGCCCCGGAGACCCTAGAGCACCTGTTGACCGAATGTCCCTCACTAGATCTCCCGGGGGTAGCCACGGTGGTTGGAGGACCCTTTGTGAGGAAAATGGTGTATGGCTCAGCTCAGCAGATGGAGTTGATAGCCAATTTACTAGCCGGGGTCATAAGAGAGTAGTCTCAGACCTTCACCAGAATATGTGTGTCAGTTAGTTACAATCTTTTTTAGTTAGTGCGATGAAACTTTTCTTCAGATGAATGAAAAGAACAAAAAAAAAACAACAAAAAAAAAAAAAAAAAAAAAAAAAAAAAAAAAAAAAAAAATAAAAAAAAAAAAAAAAAAAAAAAAAAAAAAAAAAAAACAAAAAAAAAAAAAAAAAAAAAAACAAAAAAAAGACAAAAATCGGTGAAAGGCCTGACCTCACCCACCCAAGTACAATCTACCCCTTTCCAGCCATGGACAGCACCCAGCTGAATCGAGTGGTGTTTATCAGTTAGAGGGGGGGGGGGTGAGAATGAGTCGGTATAGTACAGTTTGAAGAGATGTGTCTTGAGGGCAGTTTTTGAAGGCTGTGATGGTCGTTATATCGCGGATGTGTAATGGGAGAGGATTCCATTGTTTTGAGGCACAGAAACAGAACGATCGTTCACCATATGTTTTAGTGCGTGTTCTGGGAACAGAGAAAATATGCATGTCTGCGGAGAAGTGAAGCTTTTGAAGGGGTGAATTGACAGTTAGAAGTTCAGTAAGGTAGGAAGGGCATGACGCAGTGACAAAGTTGTTACAGAGAACACAATATAGATCAAGTAGAGACATATAAATACCTATGTGCCACCGTTAACAATAACCTAACATGGCATGAAGATGGTCAAATGCTGTATTAAAGAAATCAACCAAAGACTTTTCTATCTTTAAAAAAATCTGTACAATTTCGGCATAGGTAAACGATTTAATAAATTATTCTACTGTGCAATAATTGAAAGCGTAATGAGCTTCAATATTGCCTGCAGATGGCGTAATGAGCTTCAATATTGCCTGCAGATGGCGTAATGAGCTTCAATATTGCCTGGTCTACCGCATTACTCGAAGTTATAACGGACGTCTACCGCTAATGAGCTTCAATATTGCCTGCAGATGGCGTAATGAGCTTCAATATTGCCTGCAGATGGCGTAATGAGCTTCAATATTGCCTGCAGGTGGCGTAATGAGCTTCACTATTGCCTGCAGATAGCGTGGGACTTCTTCGTCTGACTTCAAACACCAATTATAGAGACTATTCAAGAACACAATTAAATCACCCAATTAAAAAAAATCTTCTTTTGAAGAACTATTTGAAGAAATATGATGATGTAAAACTAAAAAAAAACAACAACAACATTTTAGATGTTGCATCCGTCCCTCTTCATCACTGATACCTAAGATCACATCCGTCCCTCTTCATCACAGATACCTAAGATCCACTCGATGAGGGCGAATTCCTTCTCTTAAAAAGGATCACTGATAAGTCACTGTCTTCATTAAAGGAGTTCATTTATGGCTCACTTCTACGCTACAGACATACTTTACATGACTTGTGTTTAACATTTTATAATCATAAAATGTTGTCTTGGTTAAAAGAATGTATTTTTTATGTGCTGAAAATGAATGTGTACAATTTAATAAAAAAAAATTGCATTTATTTGGATCAATAAAAGAATCTTAACCCAGAGATGAAAAGTCATCTGCACCTTGTTTTAAATTCCCTAACTTGAATTTTTTTTAAACTTGAGAACCGCCGAATAGTTATATTTTTACAGCGTCACGTGTTTATTTTAGGAGCAACATGTCGCTGGGCGTGATCTCATTGCAAGCGCGAGAGCACACAGAACACAACACATCTCAGCTCCCACACAAGCAGCTGTTTCCATGAGTCTACTGGTGTGTGATCATTCGAGGTAAAAATCATTTACAAATACTATCTTATTCTCTAATTGCAGAAGACTGTTATCAATAATAATGCGAAAAATATATCATCACTACTTATAATTGTAACAATTATAACAAGCCGGGTCAATTAGAACACTTGTAGTGCTATTAATTGATTTAATTTTTGTCAGGAAATTTATTGAATATATATTTTTTTCAGAGCGCCATGACTATTCAATCTGACCTTGATTTGCTCCTTATCGGTAAAACCGGAAACGGAAAGAGCGCCACCGGAAACTCCATCTTGGGCTTCAAGGCTTTCAAATCTAGTGCAAGCACCTCGTCCACGACCAACTCTGTTGACTTTGAGGTCTGCGATTTCTTCGGTCGCATCATCAAGGTCGTGGATGGGCCAGGCGTCGGGGACACGAGAGTGGATGTAGGGGGCGCCATGACCAGCGTCATGAACGCCATGGAGCTGGCCATCATCATGAACCCGAGAGGCTACCACGCTTTCCTGCTGGTGGTCAAGTTCGGCCAGAGGTTCACGGGCGAGGAGCAGGAGGCCATCGCTCTTCTGAAGAAGATCTTCGGCGAGACGTTCGTAACGGACTTCTGCATCGTCGTGATGACGTGCGGGGACATGTTCGACAAGGAAGCCGAAGAGTCCGACCAGACGTTTCGGGAATGGTGCGACGCTCAGACGGGGGGATTCCGTGACTTGCTGGACGAATGTGAACACAGGATCGTCCTGTTCGACAACACAACCATAGACGAGAGCAAGAAACTCCAGCAGGCACGCGAGCTGCTGGACGTGGTGGATCACCTTCGGGCCAGGGGTCAAAGGTACACGGACGTGAACTTTGAGAACGCCAGAGAAACGAGGGAGAGGGTTATCTTAGAGGCGAAAGAGCCGATGATCAGAGAGGAGACCCTGTGGGAGACAAGCCTCATCCTCCAGAAGCTCACAAGTATCTATAAACACGGCGGCGGCGAGACGCAGGACGGTGGCGGCGATGAAAAGTCAAAGCTCGAATTCGTCGAAAGTCTCGTGGCCAAAGCCGATGAACTCCTCAGCAACCTGTCCTCGCTGGACAATGGGAATGGATTGCTGAATGACCTCATGGAAACCGTGCAGTCCATTAAGATGACCCTCTTGGAAGCTATGGTCTCACTTGAGGAGGCGCGCGAGCAGAAGTTGGCATTACGAAAAGAATTCGAGGAAAACGTGAGCCAGGAAATGAAGAGGATGAGGGAGGAGTTCGAGAGAGAGTTGAGTGAAGAAAGACTAGGGGAGAAACAGAGGATGCTAAAGATGCAGCAGCAGGAGCAAGAGTTCGAGGCGATCAAGGAGAAGAGAAACAAGGAAAGGGACGAGAGGGAGAAAGTGTATTTCAAGGAGATGGAGGAGGCTCAGCGGAGGATGAAGAGGAAGACGACGAAGCTGGCAAAGGAGTACAGAGAGCTAAAGGCAAGATACGAAGACGGATTTTTTAAGATGGTTTACAACGTCATCACGTGGCCCTTGAGAAAACTGAACCTGTGGGTCAAATCTCATTCTTGCTGATCTATGCGGGGGGTGGACCTGGACAATTGTGATACTTTAGCATTTAGACATGTTACCAGTATTTATTGATATGTGATAACTTTATGTGGGGTTTGTTAGGAATAGCGTTGTACTTTGTAAGTCGTTTTACCTCATCTGGTTACATTCACCAATGCAATAAGACATTTTCATAGCTATGCGTATGAAACCAAAATTAATCGATATTTATAGGACAAGACAAAAATCGAATATAAAAATATATATATATTTAGATATAGGAGTGCTCTATATTGAACTTGAGACGAGTAGGAAATGAACCTCAACAAGTAACCGAATTTGTTTCTCTTCTTTTTTAGGTAAGTAATGGCTGCTCATTTATCAAAGTTGTTCTAGGCGTTGATTCATCTCTTGTTGTTTATAAATTTGAAATTTTTAGATTATTATAATTTCGCTTATTATAAATACATTAAGTGCCTTGAACGGAATCAACTGATAGCAATGCTGTGTGACTTTTATCATTTATCAGTCAACTGATAACAATGCTGTGTGACTTTTATCATTTATCAGTCAACTGATAACAACGCTGTGTGACTTTTATCATTTATCAGTCAATTGATAACAACGCTGTGTGAGTTTTATCGTTTACCAATCAACTGATAACAATGCTTTGTCTTTTATCATTAATCAATCAACTGATAACAATGCTTTGTCTTTTATCATTAATCAATCAACTGATAACAATGCTTTGTCTTTTATCATTAATCAATCAACTGATAACAATGCTTTGTCTTTTATCATTAATCAATCAACTGATAACAATGCTTTGTCTTTTATCATTAATCAATCAACTGATAACAATGCTTTGTCTTTTATCATTAATCAATCAACTGATAACAATGCTTTGTCTTTTATCATTAATCAATCAACTGATAACAATGCTGGCCTAGGCTAGCAATCGTTAAAACCAACATTGGTTTAGACCAGGCTTCTCAAACTCAGGGGTGGGGGGTGGCGCAGGAGGCCTTGTCTGAGTGAGACTGGGCCTCATCAAGTATTCCACACAAAAAAAGCGATAGTAAGTTCAATAAAGTAGAACTGTTACAATCTGCTTAACCTTTATCAATAAAAAATAAAAATACTAAAGGTTCTCAAGAACTGGGTTTCACATTCGTCCTCCCACTGCTTGTTGCCAGAGACCTGGCAGCGCTCTTCTCACTCAGGTGAGCACAACATTTTTGTTGAGCGAGGAAGCAATTAAGACCCTCAGTATAGCTAGAAGATGCTCATCAGTAAGTTTGGCCCTGAACTTTGACTTGTGAAAGTACATAGTGGAAAATAGTTTTTCACAAAGAAAGGTACTCCCAGAAAAAAGGCCATGATCCGTTTGAAAAGCTGGAAATCTCAGGGAAGGTTGAGGGCAACGCTCTCGTAATTGTCCAGGTTTCTCTGTTTTTCCATTCACCTCCCTGCTGAAGTTAGCCTTCGGTTCAGAATTGCACTGGAAATCAATCAGCTCCAATTGAAGCGCAAGGGGGTTGGGCATCGTCCACTTTGAAGGAGAAAGGGACGGCAAAAATGTGAAAAGTGGCTCAGTGTGTCAAAGCCGCAATTTGGTCATGTTTCTCTCATAAAAATGCTATAAAATAAAATCCGATTTTAAAACGGGTATAACCATTATAATCAACGTCCAGATCTATACAAACGGAATCACTGGTCGGTGAGATTCGACTGAAACCGTCGCGGAGGGTCACATTACAGTTATGAGCATGGGGAAAACGCGCGGGCCGTGTTAATACTAAACTTTGATGTCATGTTGCGGTCCGCAAAATATCGTCTTGCGGGCCGGAAATGGCCCGTGGACCGCGAGTTAAGACACCCCTGGTGTAGACTATCAACAACACTGATGACGTCTTTAGGAAAACTCTTTCTAACAAAGCTGTTTTATATTGTAAGAAATTTTACATCAGAAATGTTATGCGTTAACAGAGAGTTATTTAAATGGGATGTCTTAAAGTGTTTCGTTTAATGGGATGACTTAACTGAGTGTCATTTATGCTACTAACTCATTGTAAATATTTCAGTGTTGTATTTTAAATACCACATTTGATGGAATAACATGGCAATGTTAATAGAAGGACAACTCTGACAGATCATGAAGTAACCTGGAAAGAACATGAAGTAACTGACAGAACATGAAGTAGCTCAGACAGAACATGAAGTAGCTCTGACAGAACATGAAGTAGCTCTGACAGAACATGAAGTAACGTTGACATCATTTAAAGTAACTCTGACAGAACATGAAGTAACTGTGAGATAACTTGAAGTAGCTCTGACAGAACAGGAAGTAACTGTGACATACTTGAAGTAGCTCTGACAGAACATGAAGTCACTGTGACATCACTTGAAGTAGCTCTGACAGAGCATGAAGTCACTGTGAGATCACTTGAAGTAGCTCTGACAGAACATGAAGTCACTGTGACATCACTTGAAGTAACTCTGACAGAACATGAAGTCACTGTGACATCACTTGAAGTAACTCTGACAGAACATGAAGTCACTGTGACATCACTTGAAGTAGCTCTGACAGAACATGAAGTCACTGTGACATCACTTGAAGTAACTCTGACAGAACATGAAGTCACTGTGACATCACTTGAAGTAACTCTGACAGAACATGAAGTCACTGTGACATCACTTGAAGTAACTCTGACAGAACATGAAGTCACTGTGACATCACTTGAAGTAACTCTGACAGAACATGAAGTCACTGTGACATCACTTGAAGTAACTCTGACAGAACATGAAGTCACTGTGACATCACTTGAAGTAACTCTGACAGAACATGAAGTCACTGTGACATCACTTGAAGTAACTCTGACAGAACATGAAGTCACTGTGACATCACTTGAAGTAACTCTGACAGAACATGAAGTCACTGTGACATCACTTGAAGTAACTCTGACAGAACATGAAGTCACTGTGACATCACTTGAAGTAACTCTGACAGAACATGAAGTCACTGTGACATCACTTGAAGTAACTCTGACAGAACATGAAGTCACTGTGACATCACTTGAAGTAACTCTGACAGAACATGAAGTCACTGTGACATCACTTGAAGTAACTCTGACAGAACATGAAGTCACTGTGACATCACTTGAAGTAACTCTGACAGAACATGAAGTCACTGTGACATCACTTGAAGTAACTCTGACAGAACATGAAGTCACTGTGACATCACTTGAAGTAACTCTGACAGAACATGAAGTCACTGTGACATCACTTGAAGTAACTCTGACAGAACATGAAGTCACTGTGACATCACTTGAAGTAACTCTGACAGAACATGAAGTCACTGTGACATCACTTGAAGTAACTCTGACAGAACATGAAGTCACTGTGACATCACTTGAAGTAGCTCTGACAGAACATGAAGTCACTGTGACATCACTTGAAGTAGCTCTGACAGAACATGAAGTCACTGTGACATCACTTGAAGTAACTCTGACCGAACATGAAGTCACTGTGACATCACTTGAAGTAACTCTGACAGAACATGAAGTCACTGTGACATCACTTGAAGTAACTCTGACAGAACATGAAGTCACTGTGACATCACTTGAAGTAACTCTGACAGAACATGAAGTCACTGTGACATCACTTGAAGTAACTCTGACAGAGCATGAAGTCACTGTGACATCACTTGAAGTAACTCTGACAGAGCATGAAGTCACTGTGACATCACTTGAAGTAACTCTGACAGAACATGAAGTCACTGTGACATCACTTGAAGTAACTCTGACAGAAAATGAAGTCACTGTGACATCACTTGAAGTAACTCTGACAGAACATGAAGTCACTGTGACATCACTTGAAGTAACCCTGACAGAGCATGAAGTCACTGTGACATCACTTGAAGTAACCCTGACAGAACATGAAGTCACTGTGACATCACTTGAAGTAACCCTGACAGAACATGAAGTCACTGTGACATCACTTGAAGTAACTCTGACAGAACATGAAGTCACTGTGACATCACTTGAAGTAACTCTGACAGAACATGAAGTCACTGTGACATCACTTGAAGTAACTCTGACAGAACATGAAGTCACTGTGACATCACTTGAAGTAACTCTGACAGAACATGAAGTCACTGTGACATCACTTGAAGTAACTCTGACAGAACATGAAGTCACTGTGACATCACTTGAAGTAACTCTGACAGAACATGAAGTCACTGTGACATCACTTGAAGTAACTCTGACAGAACATGAAGTCACTGTGACATCACTTGAAGTAACTCTGACAGAACATGAAGTCACTGTGACATCACTTGAAGTAACTCTGACAGAACATGAAGTCACTGTGACATCACTTGAAGTAACTCTGACAGAACATGAAGTCACTGTGACATCACTTGAAGTAACTCTGACAGAACATGAAGTCACTGTGACATCACTTGAAGTAACTCTGACAGAACATGAAGTCACTGTGACATCACTTGAAGTAACTCTGACAGAACATGAAGTCACTGTGACATCACTTGAAGTAACTCTGACAGAACATGAAGTCACTGTGACATCACTTGAAGTAACTCTGACAGAACATGAAGTCACTGTGACATCACTTGAAGTAACTCTGACAGAACATGAAGTCACTGTGACATCACTTGAAGTAGCTCTGACAGAACATGAAGTCACTGTGACATCACTTGAAGTAACCCTGACAGAACATGAAGTCACTGTGACATCACTTGAAGTAACCCTGACAGAACATGAAGTCACTGTGACATCACTTGAAGTAACCCTGACAGAACATGAAGTCACTGTGACATCACTTGAAGTAACCCTGACAGAACATGAAGTCACTGTGACATCACTTGAAGTAACCCTGACAGAACATGAAGTCACTGTGACATCACTTGAAGTAACTCTGACAGAACATGAAGTCACTGTGACATCACTTGAAGTAACCCTGACAGAACATGAAGTCACTGTGACATCACTTGAAGTAACTCTGACAGAACATGAAGTCACTGTGACATCACTTGAAGTAACCCTGACAGAACATGAAGTAAAATGCGTATGTTAGTATGAAAAAAATGTATTAAGATTATGAAAAACCTTTTTTTTAAATTCATGTCTTGACTTAAGGTTTTACCATTGATGTCCAGTTTGCAATGTCCATACCACTGTACACCGGTTGAGTTTTAGTAATTCACTTATAAGCAGCAAGTAAATACCACATTCCTCAAGTGTACCAAAATATAAACGTGGTATTCTATTAAACAGAACGGATTAAATGAGTGCTTTCGATGTGATTAGAAACACAGGGTCATTCAGTCAACTTTATCAAAAACTAGTTTCATTGAGGCATCCACCCATGATTAATCCCGTAAGCTGACATCCCCATGATATCTCTATTCAAATGCAGAGGGCACATATTTTTTTATGTCAATTTCACATAGACCTAAGACTGGGCATAGTCTTTAGTTCCCAAACACCTGTCGGAGAGCTATGACGTCATTTGTTTGTGTGTTGGTCATGCCATACCGTAGGATTGCTACGGGCTTCACAAATTACTGCCCATACGCTTGGGCGAATTCAGCTTCACTCTTATATAAACTTGGATCTTCCCGATCACTTTCTCCAAGAAACGAACCACGAAAGCTTGGGGGGTTGTTATGGGGGATTTCCCGATGCTCAGTGTCGCAATTCTTCTCCCCCGTGCCGTGACAGTGCTTGCAGTGCACATCGTTTCATCAAGAGTTTATTTCAGTTCTTAAAGACAACAGTGTGTGGACCATTTCAAAGCTGGAACCCTGGCTGCATTTAAATTTAAACGTGCAGCTTTAGTTTCGCATTTCTCGCTGCGGTGAAATAGGAGAGCGGCAACAGAGACTTGAGAATGACGAGCTGCTGTTGTGCTGCCATTCGCCCAACAAAGTTCACTCATAGCTTTAATGGCTGGTAGTTTTCAATGCTCAAGAACTGCTGTGTCCGGGACGACAGATATCAACCCAAAAAGTATCTTCTTCAAACAATTAAAAAGAAAAAAAAAAAGTAAGTTCACACATAGAATTAAAATAGTGGTCTTACTTTTTAATTGCATATTTAAAAAAAAAAAAAAAAAAAAAAAAAAAAAAAAATAATATTTTTAAATTCCCCCCCCCCCCCCCCCCCCATGGAAAATAAATAATATCGGAACTACACATTTATAAGTAATAGATCCCCACCCTCCCCCCAACTCTCATACACCCAAGAGAGGGTTTTCCCCAAGAAGAAAAACCAAAAACCAAAACAACACCCAAACAGACTTGGGCCTATTTTTATTCCATTAAGTTTTTTAAAAGAATTAGTTTACTTATTTTTGTTTGTTCTTGAACCCTTGTGTCGTGTGATAATATCAAATATTATATTCAATAATTATGCATAGCCTCGACGGTACTTCTTAATTCTGTTGATATTTTAATCTACAAAATAATTATGCATAGCCTCGACGGTACTTCTTAATTCTGTTGATATTTTAATCTACAAAATAATTATACATAGCCTCGACGGTACTTCTTAATTCTGTTTATACTTTAATCTACAAAAGCTTTAACACTTTCAGTTTCAACTTTCTCTTATATGAATGACGTTTTAGATAAAAGTAAAAAAAAATATAACTATAAACAATTATTATATCTGTATAAACATAAAGGCATAGCTACAAAATTGTAAAGGTTATGGTGCTTAAAATTTGTGATGCGGAAGAAACAATGTAGGTGTCTTACCTTATTTCGTTCCAGGTGTGTCTCGTTCCAAGTTTCGCCTCAATCATAATCGTATCCTCGGCTGAGACTCACAGACACACCTCTCTCAGGTAAAGGGCTCGGTCAATTAATTACGTCAACAGTTTTTACGCAATTCTTTACCCCCCCCCCCAAACCTAAAAAAAAATTTTAAAAAAAAAAAAAAAAAAAAAAAAAAAAAAATTGGTAGTGGGCATAGACTTACACTCTGTATCATAAATAATAATGAGCGTGTAGGAATTTCCAGGAGCGGCCTTGGAGCCTCCTGAGCAGTGCACACACAAAGCCTTTAAGTCACCACGGAGCACAAGCCGGGAACCACTGATTTAAGATCTTTAAAAGCGCATGCATTGTTCGCAGTTATATTATTTCACTAAAAGAATAGTTAAAATGTCGTGATGATAACTTTAAAAATAGGTCTTATTATTATTTTAAAAAAAAGATAATAATTTTTTTTTTTAAAAATAATTTTTAAAAATTCATTTTCAGGCCAGTTTGTCATCTTTTGGTGTGAAAAAACGTTCACGCCATTATACGTGCCAGGCACCAAGATGGACCCAGAGCCTCCGCGATAACCCATTTGGCTACCAGCAAACATGACACGTCTTACAAACATTACACAGACTTGTAGAGTTAAGTCTGACCTAACCAGACCTAGACATTTTGTGTGTGCTAGAAATGGTTATTTTTTGTATATATTTATGTATGTTTTAAGTAATTCCATTCGTCCTCTCATGTGTACATACTAATTGTTTATACTTGTAGGCACATCGATGTTAACGTTTAATATTTATTATTGTATCAGTTGTAAAAACTCTTAACATAAATATTTATTTCTAATTTATTTAACCCTCAATGAACAACTCAAAGTCGTTGTTCTATATCCTGTCAACACCAGCTTCAACCGTGACATTTTCTGTCATGTGTAGCATATTGCCATCCATACATAGCTCGTACGTTTTAAATGTGTATATTTTTTAAAAATGTTTAATATTGTTCCGTACGTTCCACCCTTTGAGAATTCCATCAGAAGCAAATATTGTATAATATACAACTATTATCCTCGTAAAAATTTACAAAGGCAAATGTTCACACATAATATGCAAAGTATCTCTTATTATAATACGCACCTTGTAGACTATTGTCATCTTATATAATTTTAAATGATAGTGGTGTGTATTTAAAATGCATAATCTAACTGTCTTGTTCGTCTTCCATATTTTTTAAATATTATTTTTTATTAACGTTACCTTGGTTACGCTTATCAAGACGAAACAGTGTTACTATATTTGATCCAAAAAAATGTCTAGGCAGATCTCGCTGTTTGTCGCGGGTCGAACTGGAAACGGCAACAGCGCCACCTGCAATAGCATCTTAAACAGAAGGGCGTTCCGCAGTGCTGCCTCCGCCACGTCGATGACCAGGAAAATATGCCACGAATATGGTCAAATAAATGGCGAGACCATCCACGTCGTCAACGGACCAGGCATCGGGTACTCAAGCCTTGACCGAACAAGTGCAGACGCGGTATTTCTAACGGAAATTAAAATTGCCGTAGCCTTAAACCCAAGTGGGTTTGACGCGGTAATCATTACGGTGAAATTCGGAGAAAGATTCACCCAAGAGGACCAGGACGCCATTGCGATGTTGAAGAACGTCTTCGGGAAAGAGCTCCTAAAAAAGCACTGCGTTATCGTGATGACCGGTGGGGACATTTTTGAAAGGGAAAGCGACGAGACCGGCCGCACCTTCCGGGAATGGCTGGACCAGCAACACGGTCGGTTCAAAGAACTGTTGGAAGAATGCGGTCACAGGATCGTGCTGTTCGATAACCTGACCGAAGATGAAGAAGTCAAAGACAGGCAGGTGAAGGAGCTCATGGGACTGGTGCAAGACATGGTGGACAACGGACCAGTGTATACTAATGAAATGTTCGAGGCTGCTATAGCATCACGTGACCGAATTCTCGAAGAATCCGATTTGCCGCTCAATTTTGGTGACCTCCTGCGGGAGGTGGGCCTGATTTTACACAGCCTGAAGCTCGGCGGCTCAAATGAAGATGAAGATCAACATGTTGCAGAGCTGGGAGCTTTGTCTGGACGTTGCCAAGACCTAAGCGTCAGGACATCCTCGGCTGATTCAGGAACAGGAAAGCTTCAAACCATAACGCTGCTGGTAGACTTTTGCCAACGGTGTATTCGAAACAATGCATCGAGGATATCAAGGCTCAGACGAGAGCGAGAAGCGTGCGACAGGACAGTTGAAGAGAGCGCAAGACGCCATCAGCACGAAGTCATTAACGAAGACAGGGCCAGAGAACTAGATATCGATGTCCATCCCGAGTGTATGGGTGGAGATGAACAGATGCTGGCGATGACAAGGGATGAACGTGACGCCCGATCAGCGGAAACGTTTACGAGAAAGGAGGCCATCAGGGAATGGTTCAGACAAATGGAGCGCCGGGAACGAGCAGAGCAGAGCCGGGAAACAGCGCAGCTAGAGAAACACTATTGGGAAGTTAAAGGCCAATGGGACACTTGGATGGTCAGCGAGATATTGAAGAGAACAAGCCAAATGGCCAGTGTTTGAAACCTTGCTTAAGTGACTGCGCGTAAAGGACCTCAGTGACAAAATCATCAAACTCTCAGTGATCCTCACTGTGTGCACACAACATCAAGCAAGTTTAGTTGGTTATGACTTGGGCTGATGACTTAACGATCTTACAGTCGTCAATTTTGAAGAATAAAGAGAAAATAGATACTAATGCACGCATTCCGAAATACTGACTAGTGATTCGTGATTCTTATCTGCTTATACGTGACTGCAGCGATGATAAGACAACATGGACGCTGATTAGGTTTTGATATATTTTGATATAGCTATGTATATAATTCGCTAGAAGTAGGGCAAACAAGAAGACGACAACCATGCAGGCTATATATAGATAGACCAGAGCAAGCAAGACGCAGGCAACCCTCCCCTCCCTTCCCTTGCCTGCCCATCGTTGGTCTCGAGACATGCACACTGCGGTGGAGCTACCGCCCCCTCCTGCCCCACCATCGCTTGCCAGCCATGTGCACACCCCAAACAAGCTCGCGGCGTCTGCTAACCGCTGGTTGGCTATATTTATATAGTTCAAGGGCGTAAAATAAAAAGTGTGCAGTGACGTATCAGGAAAAAAAAAGGGGGGGGGGGTAGCAAAATTTGCATTCTTAAATGTGCGTAACTTGAGTTCACGTTTTTGTCAAGTAACTTTAGTAGATGGGAAGTTCACGCATTGCTGTCGCCAATGTTTGGCGGGCTATATCTAGTAAATATATATATATATATATTTATATATATATATATATATAAATATATAAATATATTACACAACTGATACGATATCGGAATTTCCCACAATACCTGTGTGTCTATCTATAAACTTTGAAAAGATATTTCGAGTTACCGATTTCGAGCTTACATTTTCAATGCACCGGTTGTGCCACGTAAAAATAAAGTTGTTTTTTTTTAAAAACCCGTTACAGAAGTTGAATAGCTTTCCAAATGAACATAAACTAAGTAGACTTTTTTTAAATTTCTTTCCTGATCTTAAGTTTTCAAATTAAAATAATTGATCCCCCCACACTGATCATCATCCAAAGTTATGCAGACGATCTTTCAAAATGTATTTCAGTTTTTAAATACTGTGTACATTGAGCAGCTTTTGAAAAGAAAACGCAGCAATGAACTTCATCTTGAATGCATAGTTTTTTTGTTTTTTTAATCATTGTTTTACATGTTTAAAAAGTGAAGCTTTGTATTTCATACATAAAATATCTTGCCATATAATACATACGTATATAATAAATTCTTTAGTATAGAACAAGCACATGTATTAGATGTTTTTTTTCCCACGACAGCTGTCAATTGGACATGTTTTAATTGTTTTGTTGAAAGTGAAAAGTAGGTCAATGTTGGACGGGAAATGGGTCATGGTGGACGTAAATTGGGTAATTTTGGACGGAAAATGGGTCAGTGCTGGACTTTAAAGTGGATCACATTTAGACTTAAACTGTGTGAATGTTGGACGGAAAATTGGTCAATGTTGGACGTAAAGTGGTTCAAATTTGGAAGGAAAGTCGGTAAATTTTGGGAGGAAAGTGGGTCATGTTGGACGGAAATCGGGTCAATGTTTGAAAGTGATTGCAATGAGGCCTTTAAATTTCACGGGTGTCCCCGAGACGGCGCATCATAAGGTCAAGCCTCCTTGCAACTGGAAGGTCAAAATATTGAGGCAAGCAATGAGAATTGCTATGCCTGTTAGTTTTTTGAAAACAATAAGTAGCTTTATATGGGGGGGGGGAAACAATCGTTTAGGAAAACGGTAATCATTACGGTGAAATACGGTGAAATACGGTGAAATACGGTGAAATACGAATTGCTATGCCTGTTAGTTTTTTGAAAAAAAAAAGTAGCTTTATATGGGGGGGGGGGGGAAACAATCGTTTAGGAAAACGGTAATCATTACGGTGAAATACGGTGAAATACGGTGAAATACGGTGAAATACGGTGAAAGTCGTCTAGAGCATCAGGACGCCATTGTGATGTTGGAGAACGTTTTTGGGAGTGAGTTCCTAACAACAACAACAATAACAACAACAAAACCACTGCGTTATTGTGATGACCGGTTGGGGGGGGGGGATTTTTGGAATGCTCCAGAGCTCACTTTAAATGCTGTATGATGCGCCTTGTTATTCCTGCTTAAACCAAAGGTGCCTATCATATCATAGGACACAGGTAAAGACGTTAAAAGGAGATCGTTGGGGCACATGTAGCGTTAAAGTATAATAAAATTTATTTCATTGAAACATACTACACATAAAGCATGGGTTGAAATGTAAATGATTAAAAGGGGAGATACATTTAAACTCGCTGACAAGCCTGCAAAATCACGGTTGGATTGTTAAAACAAATGCTACGCTCGTGCACTTTATATATTTAAAATATTTTCTTAATATTTTAAATGCTTTTTTTTCATACTTACATTTTTTCTTTCTATTTCAAATGTTTTCTTAATATTTCAAATGTGTTTTTCATACTTAATTTTTTTACTCAATATTTTAAATGCGTTTTTTATACTTATTTATTTTCTCAATATTTCAAATGTTTTCTTTATATTCAAAATGTGTTTTTTTAATACTATTTTTTCTCCTTAATATTTCAAATATTTATTTAGCATTTAAATTGGTTTCTAAACATATTAAAAGGAAAATCAATTCTATGAAATTTCGTTACCATTAAGATGTATATAACCATTTAGTGGACTTGCATAATTAATTAAATTTTCAAGACACTGATATAGAAATGAAAATCTTTTTGAAATTAATACAACCGTGGTTTTAAATGCTTTAATTAGGGCTCCTACAGAAAATCATTCACGACCCCAGAGATGGCAACTTGTGCCTCAAGACATGTTATTTCGATGGACTTTGATATTCTATATTTCAGAAACAATTTTTTTTTTTTTTTGTATTTATTTTTTCAATTTAAATATATATCGTTAAATAATTCATCTTAAAATAATCTAATTCGCTATTTAAGTATAAACCTTTCTAAACGAATTGGTATAACTCAAGCAGGGTAACTCACCTTGTAAGACTACAGTGACCATTGTGGTAGGCTGCCCTTTAAAACAATTTGACAAAAAATACCATGAAACCTTGGCAGCTGTCGCCCGACTTGGGCAGATTTTGTCTACATAAGTTTGACCTCCTCCAAATGAAGGATTCCTGTCTTGCTTGTCAAACGGGTTTTTTCCGATGTGATGTTTACCCCCATGTAACACTTAAGCCTTACGTTTTGTTTTCTCAACTTTTGTTGCACTTATTATATCAGTTAATTAAAAAAAAAAACATTTTTTTTTTAGCACATCCACATTTTTAAAATACATTTACACTAAATAAAATATTTCAAGTTCGTTTGGGTATTAATATTGACGAAGTATGAGATTTGTTTCAAGGCCTACTTTGTCGCTTAAGACGTTTTCAACGTGTATATCACTTAGTCGGCATAATATGATTTACGTGATCTAAAGCAGGACTGCACTGCTGGAAATGTAAGACGGGCCTTAGTACTTTATGAAAAAACTTGTGCGGGCCGAAATAATGTTAGGACACGGGGTTGGGGGGGGGGGGGAGAGAAAGCTAATTAAGAACATAATAATACTAAATATTATTTCGTTACTTCGCGGGCCACAAAGTGGGTGATAGCGGACAGCATGTTGTGCAGGCCTGATCTATATATTAAATGATGATATGGGGCCATCCATAAAGTACGTTTCGCTCTGGTGGGGATTCTAAGAAAGTGTGACAGTTGTTGACAATGGGGGAGGGGGGGAAATAAAGATCTTGTAAGATGGTACATATTTTTTCATATCATTCCTATAAAATCTGATATTGACAGATATGTTGAGCTTCCTGTTGTGACGAATGTATTCAGAAGATCACGTCATTTTTAGACATTTAATAGTATAACCGTGACGCCTGTCATATATATATAAGAATGAGCTAGGGTGACATATTGCTTAAAAACAAAAAAACTATTTGGATACCTTCGGATTCTTAAAAACAATTACAGTTATTTTCTTTTATTTTACGGAAATCGATTAAATTACATGCGCAAAAAAAATATTTTATTTTAGTACACGTTAAAGTATTATTAAACATTCTAACGTGGATGACAACATAGTTCAATTCTATGGTATTACATACGTGAAAAAATAGATGTTACTCTCTCTTTTTTACAAATATACTTATGTTTATCAATTAAGAAGATCAATGACGTTAAAAAATCTTGGGTACATTTATACAAGTATAACCATGAATATCAAAACCCAATCATTTTACACACATGAAAAATTAATTTTGAAAAATAGTGATGGGTTAATATTTACTTTAAAAAAAATTAAAGTATATTCTTGTTTTTAATTTGCGAAAAGTAAAGTGATGTGTATTTTATGAGATTAATCATTTAAATAAAATAAAATAAAAAAAAAATAAAAAAATAAAAAAAAACCAACAACACTCAAATCTGTTATAGACGTGAAAAACGGTTGCTCGATTCTTCTTCAGATAAAAGAATTCTTTGTTTATGATTTTCTGATGACGTATAAATTTTTTAAACCATTCAAAAATATCAATATATTTCGAATTCCTATAATATAAAATATTTTTATATCCTATGAAGAGTTTTTGATGTTAATTTAAGGCACGTTTTTGAAACAACTTTTAGAGAAAGAAAAGTTGTAATTCAAGGGAACGAAAAGGGGTAAATCTAATATATTTCTCTAACGTAGTAATTGTCCCTCAAATAACTTCTTTAGTGACAAAATTGATATAATTAGTAATAATTTTGACTGTAATTTGAGGTCATGTTTAGAGGGGGAAAAAGTAGTTTAGGAGTAGGGTAGGCCTATAATATATAGCAGATAAATGCTTCTATAAACGTAATGGTTTTAGAAACGTAAATATCATAAATTTTTAAAGTTATGAATCGTTATGAGTTTTTGCAATAGCAGTTAGAAATTATCGCAAAAGATCTACCATTATTACCTAGATGACATCGGGTCATTTATTCTAGTATATAATAAATGTTTTAAAATATTCCGTTTTGGGCCGTTGTTAGTGGGAAGGAAAAAGGGGTCAAGACACAATTACATTTACACACTGTCATATTAGGTGTGAATGAATGTGTGGTCAGAAGAGAACTACATCTACACACTGTCATAGTAAGTAGGAAAGAGAGTGTGGTCAGAACTCAATTACATCTACACACTGTCATAGCAAGTAACAAGAAAAGTGTTATCAGAAGACAATTACATCGACACACTGCCGAAGTAAGTGGGGAGGAAAGTGGGTTTAGAGCACATTTACGTATGCACATATTTCCATCTCGACTAATTGATTATTTTTGATTGCATATCACTTTTTTTTTTAATAAACACTTTGTCCTGTATCTAAACTAGTTTAACATGTAATCATCATCCCAACGTGGATCAGGAAACTGAGAAGCAATTTGAGAGGGAGTTCAGATGGAATGGGGTGTCAAATAAATGTAGGTTGAACGCCAGTGTTTATTAGCAAACACCAAGGTTTTAAATGACGACCAGGAGAGCTCGAGGAAATAATGAGACATGTGAAACCGTGATTAATCATGACGTTGTTCGGCGATGTAACGGACGTGTTTCATTGCGTTTATACGTTTCGCGTGGGAAGAGACGAGAAAAGCCGAGCGGCAAGGAATAGTTTTCCAATCTGATCGTTTTAATCTTTGGCTTCA